TTTGGGAGCCTTCCCTTTTCAAGACAAGGGTTTTCTTGTTGGGGTTCCCCGGGGGGGGGGGGGGGGGGGGGGGGGGTCGTTGAAAGGGACGTCGTATCTAGGCAAGAGGGGGGTGTTGTCGTGTGGCATCATGCTTTGCGAATCGTGGAAGAAAGGGGGGCGAGATGATCGAACAGGGGGAAGGAATTACAAAGGGTTAGACAAGCGGGAACAATTAAAAAGCACCTCGAGAGGCCCCTCGCCTTTAGACTTGACCTACAGTACTTGCAAAAAAAATATTCTTTTACCGATACAAGTACCACGCAACCGCCCTTGTCCCTATAGCGGCACCCCCAAACATCTCACCGATCCCCCACAGGCCACCTTGCAAGGGAGGGCGAAATCGTGACGCCGGATGGTGTCTACGCGATTCTATGTAGGGGTTGCCAGTGCGGTCTAGACGCTTCAGCTGCGGTAACTACCGCAAAATGGCCATGTGGCAATCCATTGCTTCCCCACCTCCCAGTCCTCGCACCACGGCTCGCGGCAGCAGCAACCCGACCTCCCCTCGTCGAACTGCAGACAAACCCCAACCCTAACGCTAGCCAAAGCCTAGCGCAGCAGCAACAAGGCGGTACCGTACGGCCCCACAGCCCTTCGCGGCGAACCTTAACCCTTCTTGGCAAAAAAACGCCAACCATGCCCCAAGCACAACTCACCACCCCCGAAGAAACAGCAGTGCCTCATCGCCAGCACGACATTAGCAACAGCAACAATACCTCCACCACAGCAGGGACACGCACACACACACCTCTAGGTCTTCCGGGCGAAGGTCCGTCATCTCCAAGTCGAGCCCGTCCATGTCGTACCCCTGCACCCCGAGCACCGCTCTCGACAGGTCCTCCGACATGTCCTCGTACTCGTTCGGAGTCACCGCCGCCTCCTCCTCCGCTGCCGCTGCCACTGCCGCCGCCGCCGCTGCCGCCGCCGCCCCTACCGCCGTCTCCGTCCCCTCCATCATTACGGAGGCCCCGTTGTGCAACATCGTAGGCTCCGGCGACTCGACGGCAGGCGGGTCAGCAGCAGCAGCAGCCTTTTTCCTGCCCGAAGCTTTGGCCTTCTTCGCCGGCGCCGCATCCGCTTTCTTCTTCTTCTTAGTCTCAGCGGGCGTCTTCTTCGTCTTCTTCGCGGCAGCAGCGGGCTTCTTTGCGGCGGGTTTCTTTGCGGCAGCAGGCTTTTTCGCGGAAGCCGCGGGACTCTTCTTGGCGGAGGAGGCCGCCTCCGCCGCTAAGGACTCGCGGGCCGGGAAGGCGTCCGACAGCTTCTCGCGGGCGGCGCTGAGCTTGGTAGCCTTCTCCTGCACGCCGGCGTAAGCCGCCTCGCGCGCCTCCTCTCGTTCCCGTTGCGCCGCCGCTCTGCGGTAGCGCCGCGGAGAGATACGCAGAGACACGCACAAAACGAAACCAACAGCATCGAATGGGGTTGTTGTTGTTGTTGGCTTCACAACTATAAAATAAAACCCAACAGGATTGACAAGTGTGGGCGTATGAGACGGCACGCAATGGTCCTGTGTGACGGGCACCCACTTACGGCTCGTCAGTCCTAAACGCCACGTCGCCCTCAGACTATCGAACACGCATCTGAGTTTGGTAGATTACGGATAAAACGTCTCCCGTTGTTCCCATTTCTAACTCTCGATGTCGTAGAGCTGCATAGGCGTGAATTTCGAGAGGCCTCCTTGTCTACTGGGACATCGTAGGTGTCGGCGTACTGTAGCGCCTGATTGACTTGAGCTTGGAATTGTCCTTGCGGCCCATCGCCTCGTGGCGTGATGCCCGCTTATCATCGTATACGTGACCGACCCCAACCAACCGACCGCGTCAAAAGGCAGACCGACAAAAACAAAAAAACGAGAGTACGACAAAGAAAACAAAAGGCATTCTCCCTCCCGGCACAACAACACACAACACACAACCGCCCATGGGGGCTCTTCCACCGCCGCCCACCTTCAGCACACCCAAGTACTTTCTGTATTTCAGCCGCACTGAGACTGAACCTACTTCATTGGTCAGCCGGTTCGCGTGGTCCATGCTAAAAACAAACATACGCACACACACAAACTGCCCTTTTTTCTCTGTTGCTACACCGTTACTGTCTCTAATCCGGACAACAGCTTAGCCTCCCCCATGACGTCCCTCACCAGGTCCAAGATCATGGGCACATACAAGCGTTTCCTGTTTCTTTCAATCCGCAGAAACTAGGGGGTCCCCGTTCATTTCGTCAGCGCGTTCCATGCAACCAATACACATACATAACTCACCTCATGGCCTCCTTCTCCGACCTAAGACGAATCTCCTCGAGAGAGGGCGTCTTGCTAAGATCAGCCACCTGCCCCATCAGCCTGGCGTTGGCCCTCTCCAGCGCCTCCACCTTGGCCGCAAGCTTCCCCGCCGCGGCCAGCTCCTCCCGCAGCCGCGCGAGCTCCGCCGTGATCGCGTCCGGCTTCGCCGCCACGGCCGCCGCCACGCCTCCGTGCAAACCCCCCACCACCGCCCCCGCCGCCGCTTCCACCGCCGGGGCTCCGTCCGCCACAGTCACCGCCGCCAGACCCCGTACCGCCAGCTCCTCGCGCAGCTTCGCCACGGCCTCGACGTCGGCCTGCGCCTGCCGCTCCTTGCGGGCCTCGGCCACCGCTTCGGCGTCCACCTTCGCAGGGGAATTGGGGTACCGCGTGATCCGCGGCGGGCGGGCCACCGGCGGCAGGGGGTCCGGCTTCGGCCGGCGGCTGTTCTCGTCCGCGGAGCGCAGGGCCACCGTGAGCACCGGGAGCGTGACCAGCATGAAGAGAGCAAGCTCGGTCTCGGCGCCCTTGGGCAGGTAGGGCCTGATGCCGTTGAACGCGTTCTCCTTAGCCTTGGAGAGCATGCTCGCGAATTCTGGGGCCCAGGGGGACCCCCGGGGGGAAGGTGGGGTTGTGGGTGTTTTTGATTTTTTCGCTCACGCGTTTTTCAAACTCCATCAGGGCGTTGTGGGGGGGGGGGGGGGATGACACGGGGTGAGGGCGAGACAGACGTGTTCGTCTTTGGTGGGAGTTTTATTGCTAGAATCGATCGCGCTGACCAATGAACAGACGTTACATTGTAGTGAAAGGGAAGACAGGCAGAGAAAGAGGAAGAGAGGTTGTAGATACTTTGCTGGCGACCGCTTTAGACTACTAGAGCATCGTCGCATGCATCACAATTTAGATACAACGGCAGGACGAGCCGCAATGCCGCAGCCACCTGAGCAGAGTAGCCGCGAAGATGACTGGACAGGGCGGAAGAGCAGCTGGAATATGTTTGCCGGCATGACTCACAAAGAAGAGGAGGACACCAGCAAATCTACCCCTTTGAGTGAGATGCGCCACTATACTACAGAGCAGAAGTCTTGCCGCTATCGTCGCCCTATGATCGTCTGAAACGACACTGCTGTCGCCATCTTCACTGCTGGACCGTCATCACCCCAATTCTTTCTCTCTTACCGGTACTGGCCAGCGCACTCCCCCTCCCCCTTCGCCCCTTCTCCCCTCCAAGAACAACACGCGACAACATCAAAACACAACAGCATGCAGCCGTAGTACAAGACGACACCGGAAGAACGGTTCCATATGTACCGCACGCGACACCTCACTCCCAGGACCGATTCGTGTACCAGAGCTCGATCGACATATTTCACAGGACAGCGAGAAGGGAGCCAACGAAAAACTGTACGATCACCGAAACCCGAACCTTCTTCCCCCACCCGTGTCTGGCGAGGCCTGTAGTGTCACCCACCCTGCCTGGCGTCGAGAAATCGAGACATACGAAACTCTGCCCACGGGAGTGCTATCTTCCGTGGCATGCGGTACAGTGGATGAGCACTACTGTAACTAACTGCTGTGGCGGCGACGTGCTCGTTACGATTCTGTCAAAGTAAAGGTGTTATAATAAAGGATGCATGGTAGCGACGGTAGGCGGTAGATGTACCTTCCATTAGGCCGCGGCCTAAATCGAAAAACATTCGACGGTGCCCCCCCTCTTGTAGGGTAGGGACCGTGCCCTATGCGGTGAGCTCCCGGCGTGTGTGCGACTACCGTACGTAGGTTGCATGACGTAAGATACCACACCCCCTGGACTGATTTTCAAAGCTCGATTACTCCATCACGACGAAGATAATGCCGAAATCAGATTATACCTTTTCGGAAAGCTCTGGACGACACGGTTCCAACGCCTTCCGCCATTTACCGGCACCGTCACCGTGCTTTCCTGCCGAGTAATCGAGCTTTGAAAATCCCTCTGGGGTGCTGCCAAATTTCACATGTCACGAAACAGCCATGCCACCCAACTATGTACAGGCAGCATGGAACAAAGCGCTCTAAGCCTTTCTTGCGGGTGTGTGTTGCTCTTGTCCTTGCGATCGTACTATTAGGAATGTACTATACACCGCTTGACCAATTGGAGGTCGTCTTCTAGCAGCAGTAGCAGCAGGATAGAGCTCGTGTCTACAAGGTTGAAACACCAAATAAAGCAGTTGATTGCTTCCATGGGTTATATTGTTTATTTCTTGGCCCTGTCGCTAAAACCAGTTCTTGCAGGCATTTGCTGGCAAGGAAGGACCAGCATGTTCCGCTTCATAATGACTCTCGTCACACACATTTCATGAGTCCACACAACACCAAACATGCATTCCTCTCTGGCGAAACAGGGAAAAGTCGTTGTCAAGATAGTTAATAAATTAAGAGAGGCAATCATGAGATCATACGCGCGACTGGCCCTTCTCGAACCTGACCCGCAAATCGGCACATACCGTAAGAGTCGGAGAGATGGAACCCCCGTGATAGCGTTTTTTTGTAGCGTATTTCTCCACAACAAGGTGGGTGCGAACACCAACCGATACCTCTCAGGAAAGCCCTCGACGAGATGTTTCCAAAACTACCCTTTTCGGCAGTGGTACCCCCCTGGTTGTGGAGAAATACGCTATACAAAAACGCTAACACGGGGGTGCCATCTCTCCGACTCTTACGGTACTCAGCTGTTGTACTGTCTTTACCTGGGTATGTACACTTTCGAACCTTCGAAGTACTTCGTGACCAGTGTAACTGCAACCTTTCGATCATACAGAAAATCACACATACATCCCGTCAGGCGTCTAGGCAGTCCACATAATATAGCGTACCGCTCCTGTGTACCGCTGTGCCATTCTACAGCAATACCCTGCCGGCGCAAATGGAAAAGTACAAAGATCGAGTCGTGAATAGTACCCTATCAACCACACCTTTCAAGTTTTGCACCTCAAGATACTGCTGTTCCAGGCCATACAAACATAGGGCGGGTGACGTGTACATCGGCGGCTGGCTGCTTTGTACCAAAATATAGTTTACGAAGATGACAATTGACGTGTGCACACACTTTTTTTTTTTTATGTGAAGACAACCACAACACACTTGATAAAACCAACAGTGTGTTGTGTTTATTTCTTATTTCATTTCTTTTGAACGGGGGGAGTTCGAGACAACAGCAGCAGCTGGTATAGTTGCAGTTCACGGCAACCAGCAGCAGCCGGTCCTTTTTTTTTTTCCGGCACCAGTCACATGTCATGTCACATGCATGGCCGCAACTCCGTGCATGTGTCATCTGTCTCGCCCTGCTAAATAGACCATTCCAAAGTTACAGCAGGCCCATCGAAACATGCAAAGATTGGTCCGCACGACGTTCCGGCCCAGCACAACGCGTGCCCACGCTATCTCCCTCAGTGCATTGTAAGCGCGCCGGTAGGCACAAGCATTGTCATGCTGTCGCTAACGCTTCCGAATAGACGAGGTCAACATGACATCATCACTTCCCGTCCCCCGCACACCTCGCGAAATAGGCAAAATAATTTCCACTTGAAAAGACACAGCAGGAGCGGCAGCTCAAAACAGCTCACCGGTTGTAGTCACCCTGCCTGGGCACAGCAGCCGCAAACGCATCCGTCAGCTCCTTCACGCCGTCCCCCTTGCCCACGCTCTGCAACGCACCCCTGATCGTCCCCGCCGCGGGAAAGTCGGGCTGGGGCAGCACCCTCTCCCTGCTCGGAGCTTTGAAAATGGCCCGCGGCTCCACCCCAGCGAACACGTTTCCCTCCTCGGGTACCGTGATGGGCCCCACAGTGGGGACGTCAAACTCCGGCAGCTTGACCGTGAACTTGTACTCCTTCATCTTTATGGAGGGCTTGGGCGCGGGAGTAGAGGAGTCTTGTCGTCTCTGCCCTGCTGCTGCTGTACGTGCCGCGTCCTCTGCACCCGTCTGTGGGGTCGTCGATGACGGGGGGGATGCAAACATCGATTGCACCCGGGGAGTGGAGTCGACGGTAGCAGCAGTCGGGGCTTCTGTGCGGCCAGCGGGAGAAGCAGGCGCAGTTGCTGCGGCATCGCCGGGTGTGTCCGTAGTGGGACCAGCAGTAGCAGGGCCACTCGAGACGCTCGTGAGCCTGCGCTCCAGGTTGGCGATCAGGCGATTCTGGTCGGCTGTGCCCGGTGCCTGCGCCGCGCCTTCTGTTGTTGCACCCGAGACTTGCGGGTTGCCCAGAAGCATGGCCGACAGCAGCGCCGCCGAGAGCTCCCTCGCCGCTCCCCCGCCGCCCCTGCCGTTGCTGTCGGCGTCATGACGTTCTGGTCGTTCGTCCGGCGGTGGTGATGAGGATGATGATGACCCTCGACACGCGGCAGCAGCGGTAGCAGACCTCCGCCGCCCCGCCGTCGTCATAGCATCATCGCATCCACCCACGCCGCTGCTGCCGGCAATCCCGCGCGTGCCGGTATGCAGATGGAAAGCGAGGGAGGTGTGTGTGGTCGTCACGGTCGCGAGGCACAGCCCTATCGCCGCGGCCGCTGTCGTTGCTGCTCTCGGCGCACTGCGCCGCCGACGCGCACCATGACTCGCCATGAAGGGTAGTGGTCCCTACAAGGGCAGGTGCAACGTGTTGCACCCAAGCTCGTGCGAAGTCAAGCCGTCCACTAACACACCCTTTTGGGGTGAATGGTAAAGGCGTTGCGTTGGCTCACAAACAACCAACGAAGCTCGATGGTGGTGTTTGTAGCAGCCGACAGTTGTACACCTCGCGGAGCGGTTTGGTGTGGGTGCTCGCTGCTGCTGGCTGGCGTGTTTCCGACACGGAGAGAACAAAAACCGCGCGAAAAAAAAAAATGAAATCTTTTCCAGACGGGGGGGGGGGGGGGGGTTCACACTGAGAACGATACGGACAGGGGTGGGGGGTGCCGCAGCGGGATGATGAAAAGATCCTTCTTGTGTTGTGTGATTTGCCATCATGGCGTCGGTATAGAGATGAATGACATGCCACACGCTAGAGGCGGGACTCACTGGGTCCATAAGTGCAGTGTATCCTGATGGGTATAATTTTGCTGTACACTCTTTACATCTATAGACGTGTATGCTGTGTATGGCCTACAAGACGGGCACGACACAACCGACACAAAAATCTAACGGGTGATTGAATAATAATAATCAATGTGCTTGTTCCACGTCAGTAGCCACAAGAAGTCTACTACTTACAAGTGTGACTGCTTGCATATCAGACGCACACGCGTCTTTTCGTATGCCGAAAAAAAAACACAGAGAGCACCAGCAAGAGATAATATTATTGTAGAGCTCGACGGTTTCCTGCGTTTTTTAACCTCTTTCAAGTACAAGTCACCACAGGTAGGACAAGAAAGACATTTTCAACAAAAAAAAATGAAACAGGTGTGCACCATGCATGTAAATCACGATGACAACGCAGCACAAGGTGACACGCTACCGAAGAGAGAACTTGGCCCCGGATGTTTCGCTACAGATAATAGGTTGGCGTACCATCGCCAAAATAATATTAGCACTGCTGCTGTCCATCTAGGCCGTGGTACCTCGCTGGGTGCCAACACGCAGAAAGGAGGCGATTTGCCAGGGGGCTGATCGCCCTTTTGACGGCCGGCGAACATCCACCTCAACACCCAGCCAAGAAAAAAAAACGGAGCTATCCGCACTCACTCCGCCCATGCTTCGCTTCTTTCGCTCTAATTTCCGAAGAGCAACCCACCACTTGTATTGTGCACAGCAGTACATTCAGCCACAGCAGCAGCCATGACCATCATATCACCGTGACCGACCTTCGCGTTGAGGTGGACGGACACAAGTGTGCCAGAGAGAACACACCCAACATCCATCTCAAAAAGCGCTACTTGCTGTAGTCTACATGCATCGGGACACCTCACGCCCGCGCACGTTGCCACAAACAAACAGGCAAAAATAAAAAAATAAAAAAAACTCAATTCCCTTCTTCCTTCCCCTTCCCCCTCCCTTCCCACGCATGCCTCCAAACAGACGATTGCTCCCTTCAGCCCCACCCCTTCCCTCCCCTTTGCAAACAACTGAGGCAGGGAAACCCCGACAAGCGCGTTTTGATGTCTCTTCTAGACTGCACTAGATTAGGCGGCACGAGATAGCAGCAGCAGAGATGTTTCCTCTTGCCGACGGATCCGACGGAAATGTTACTGCCTCCGCTTCAGGGACGAGACAGAAATGTAGCACGATATATAACACCAGGAGAGATGTATTCGCGTGCCGACATAAATTATTTCGCCGCGAGCGTTGTACACGGTACTGCCTACGTGGTACAAGGACCGAGCCACACCCCGCACAATCACTGCCCGGAACCCTCCCGGCATAATGAGGCAATCTACTTGCCCAATACGTCGACCAACTCAACACGGAACACGAGGTCTTGGTTTGGCGGGATGGGTCCCGTCCCGCGAGCACCGTACCTGGAACGGCACATCCACGGAACAGTTCGGGGAATATCGCACGGCGGCGGGCACGAGGAGAGGGAGGGGGGGGGGGGGGGGGGGGGGGGG